TGTTCATACCAATTTCTTTGCAGTTTCCTTTCCGTATATGTTGCAAATTTTCCAGTGTAGATATTAGCCCCCTCTGTCGTGCCGTGTTTTATATTCAGTGGGTGCCAATACCGCGCAATATCGAGATAACAGCACACCAAAAGCTTAAAGCCGGGGTAAAATATGCCCATTACGACACCAAGTTTGTTAAGAGTATACAAGACACATGCATTACGTTCAGTCTTAATAAAAGCGGCGCGTGTGTCCCAAAGTCTCACTGTCTGCCTCATTCTTTAAACTCACTAAAGAACTTAACGCTCGGTTAGGATACACCTCTTTCTATTACTGCCCATGAACAGAGATGCACAGGGTATCATCCCCAATAGGTCATGTACAACTGGTTATGGTCAGGTAAATAGAAAAGAAATCTGCGGTACTGAAGGTGATATATACTGTAGCACATTTTCTTCTTCTTCTTACTACTCCTATTACTACTACTACTAATAATAATAGTAGTAGTAGTTGTTGTAGTAGTAGTAGTAGTAGTTCGTATGAATGTTTAAAAGTCATCAGCGTAGATTAAGTTACTGCAAGTCTCCTGAAATCTCCAGTACCTTATTCAGTATCGTCACCGACCCAGGAACGCCGTGGTCTGTATAGATTATTATTATTATTATTATTATTATTATTATTAAAGGCGAAGAAACAAAGCATCAGAAAGAACGAAAGAATGAACAAAAGAAAGAATATAAGTATTTAAATTACTAAGACTAATAACAGACGGCTGTTATCCAGTCATGGTGGTAATAATAATTACAAACCCAATACTGACGAGGCGGGAAAGTAAAACCGAAAGCAGAGATATTTTTGAATGATTTATTGCATAAAATTTTTTTAAAAAATCCCGTTCCGTATCGAACAGGCAAACGGAAATATGATTTTGTTTTTCTTTTCCTACTCCACCCACGACAGCATAAAAGAGAATGAACATAGACGTGGGGTGGGGGAAATTGGAAAAAACCTACATTTTATTTCAAATCGTTGCAAATAGATAAACGATAAAAACGAAAGAGATGGATGAGAATGAGAAAAAAACAACCCCCCCCCAAAAAAAAAACAGCGTAAATCGATATAAATACAAACTATTTTTAAATCGCAATCTATAATTTTACACGTGTCTTTTTCTCTGCCATTTAAAATTATATTTTCTATTTTACTTTTCCCTTTCTTCCTTAACTGACTGCCATTAAAATAATGAAATATCGTTCGTTCAACTTAAAAAGTGCATTTTGAAACAATTATACATCGTTCAGTCAGCCCTTAATTTTATTTTCGTAGACAGATCCACGTAAATACTTCTGTAAAGTTTCTGCCAAAGTGCTGAGTTGATAGATTTCATTCAAACTAAATTGTTTCTCGTAAAGAATTTACATCATTGATTTCATTTAAATACTTTTAAAAAAGACGTAAAAATTTTAACACTGTTATCAATCTACTCTTGAGTTTTTTTCCCGACGAATGACTTTTTTTCTCTATATACTGTTTTACTTCCTGTGTTTCAAATTAACTTCCGGTTCATCACAGTTATTTCTTTAATTTATCTCGTTTGCTACTGCATCGACTATCAGCCATTTGTTAAATATTTTGTTAGTTTTTTTGTTGTTTTTTTTCCCGCGATCGAATATTCAGAAATAGTAGATAGTAAAATTTTGAGCTTGAGGACCTCACGTTCAAAGACTGATATTAAATTAGGACTGTTCCTTATTAATTGTTTATTATCAGCACATTAGTATTAAGAATTAGTATTATATATTATATATATATATATGTAGTATTAGAAGAAAATATTGGGATGTAGAATACCCATTTTTAATTAGTTTTCAATGCCTTCTGGATGCTTTTTGCCATAACTTTCTCGGCCGAATATTCTCAGACCGTTGAACTAACATGAAACCAAAATACAACTAGATTTGATCTCTCATTCTGTATCTAAGCATTTCGTTGTACATGGACGATGCTTTAACAAGTTTGCCAAGGGAAGCCTATGGTTAAATATGGACCCAAATATACAGCTGGAGTACTAAATTCCTCCTCGAAAACTTCATAAAGGGTGGAAATTGAACCGAGTTTAAATGTGAATTAAGTTTAAGCGTCTAACGATTTTTTTCTTTTTCTTTACGATTTAAAAACTTAAGTCTTTGGCAATTTCAACCATGGAAAGATTAATAATCAAACAACGTGTTAAATTCATCAAAGCCTATTACGAAAATGGACGTTCAAACAGAAATGCAATGAGAAGTTCCCAGGTCGCATCATCTCTAAAAACAGCGAAGTCAATTGGCCACCAAGATCGTTCCACTTGACGCTTTTAGCTTTCTTCCTTTGAGGTCATCTCAAAAGTAAGGTCTATGCCAACAAGCCAACAACAATTCAACAGATGAAGGATGAGATAATAAGGCATATTGGTGAGATCGAGAAGCAACTATGCAGAGACATCACCAAAAATTTTGACCATCGAGTGGAGGTGTGCCGCCAAAGCTTTAGCGGACATTTGGGCGATATTATTTTTCATACATAATTGCTATAACTTAAATAACATGATCCAATAAAGAAACAAATAATTTTTTACCAATATCACTGATTTATTTTCTGCTGACTTTGATCCGTCTTAACGAAACACCCGTTATTTGTTTATAATTGCCTAATTTATGCAGTATTAGCAATGATTGGAGAAGCTTTAAATTGGTTGAATACTTAATCTCAGAATTCTGTTTTCCCTTTTTGATTATTTTAAAAACCTTTTAAATCTGCAGGATTTGGATACTTATGATATCACCTTGCGACGGTACACGTTGTAATAGAAGCCTTACAGACTTATTGCTAAATTTCTCTGCAACATTTGAGCCTACTTTTAACGTAAGCTTACTTAAGAATTTACTAATGAGAAGAAAGTCAGTTAGTGGCGCTAGACTTACAAGTATTTAAATTCGTCACTTCTAACAGAATCTAGCATTTCTACTTAACTATGTCATGAAATTTTCAAACTCTTATCCTGAAATGTTGTACTAGCACTGCTAATGTACAGGTAGCGGTGTTTCAATGTGAGCGACAAATGTCTGTTGACAAAAATATCAAGTTATGAACCGTGAATACAATTCGCTCTCAAACCCAGGTTGAAACAACTAGGCAAATATGATGTATAGAAAAATATCCCTATTTTAATGTATCTGTAGAGCAAGCTGATCGTTTCATTTCTAGTACACAAAACGGTATTGAAGCGACTATTAAGAAAACGCATATATTTACAACCTTAAAACCGAGCAGAAGTATATCTGTCAATTTCTGTAACTCTTCTGGCCTCACTGATCTATCGAAATAAATTTTGTCCTCATTTCTGTTTTTCTTCTGTTAGTTTTAATTTACGTTCCTGTCGTGGTGCAAATAAGACACTCCCGGTAACACAAATGAACTAGGCAAGACGCCTTAAATAAAGAACTCAAAGAGAGTAAAGTCGAGGAGAATTTCCAGAGACGTCCCGGCGAGTAGCATAAGCGAGACATATATTATATATATAATATATATATTATAGTATAATATTATACTTACCTGGCTTATGTCAGAGGGTATCCCCCAGACGAGGATCTGCCGAAAGGCATAGTCTCATCTCGGGAAACTTACTCCGTTTTTACCTGGTCTATAGGAATTTTTTGCCCGAGCCTACGGGCTCGGATACCCCACTTTAAACTCAGCCTTATGCCACATCTTGCTGCGTGGGGCAGCGGGTAAATAATCATAATATTATAACCGCTAAGAACAAGATATAATAGCAGCAACGTGAGATCGAAACTCATACAGAATTGAAAAAAAGTACTTTTTGCTCCGGCGTACATGATAACAGTGACGACAAGAGGTTAAAAACACGTTGGTTTACTTTTTTTCTTTGGTGTGCGTAAAAAGGAAAACGAAAGAGAAAGAAGGAAAAAAACATATATTCTTTAAATATGAAAGAATTATTAGCCCGAGTGGTAAAAATACAACAATAGCAACCGCAACAAAAGCAGCTTGGAACTTCACAACAGTTTTCCATCCAGAAATAGTTAAACTCTCGACTGTATACAACAGTTTTCTCAGAGCAATGGCTAAAAATGGCTCCTAGCAAATGAAACTCGTAAGTCACCGCGAGGACTATACTTCTTTAAAGTATGTGGACTGATGCGACTGAATCACAAAGAAATGTACCAGATAACAGGAACCACATCATGTGAGGAATTTCAATATCGCAACAACTAAAATGGATATCACAATGAGGAAATAATGACATAATCTAGATGTCCATATTCCACACTACTTCAAATAAAAGATTAGGAAGGAAACTTCTATCAATACTAGAAAGAACGATAACAGCAACAGGACTTGAGAAACCTAATTCCATGAAACATTGTTTTTAGAGAAAGATTTTATAAATTTCAACCAACAGTAGCACTGGCTTCTTGATTAATAATTGGCAGGGGAAGTTTTGTACCTGACATCAAGTACAGAATTCGATATTCCATAGTAGGCCCAAGGAATAGGCAACATGAAGATTTTAATGTACTTTTTTGTTTTCTTTTTTTTCAATGAAGAAGCTTTGTAAGCCTACCTTGAAAATCAGCATTCAATATCCTTGCTTTTACCTGGGCGCGAATGCTAACTTCTTTTATGTATGCAAACGAAAACAGACGAACGTTCAAGCTTCTACTGACTGATTGGTTTGGTTTTACGGCTTATCAAACTTTTGTAGGAAATTTAAAGCCGAAATATAAGAATAAGTCTCATTTTGCGAGTAAATATTGCATTAATTTTTGGTGAAATAATGTCAAGTTTTACTAATTACTCCATAGCTGGGGGATGAAGATGGGTATTTATACTTTTCTCAAGGGTATTGTGCGTGTGAATGTAACAAAACTCAACTGGAATTCGAACTATGCTCTCCAATTTCCCATTCCGAGGCTCTTATCCATTACACCACCCGTGCTTCCAAGCTTACAGTGCCTGGTTAGCCAAGCGGTCAACCATCTAGGTACTGACCAGGCTTGACGTTGCTTAACTTTGGTGATCGAACGAGAATCGATGTTTCATCGTGATATGGCCGTAAGCTTTTTAAGCTTTTGTGAAGCTTTATTCAATGAAAATTGCCTAGTGCTCATAAGTAAGGTTGGACCATTTCTTTTTAATTCGAGTAGATCGAGGGGGAAACAACTCTGGTTGACTCCTACCACAATGAGTTATATCATTTGAAGATGTGGAGGGTCATAACCCTCCACATCTTCCTGTCTTTTGTTACCCGAAGTAGCTCTTGTTCCCTAATCATACCATTTGTGATCCTTGTTCTGTTTTTCATTCACCCAAGATCGTAGTTTAATCGCTGTTTTCACCTGCCCCTCTTGCTTTCAGTATATCCTTTGAATTCTCGTGTGTGCCTCACACCTGATCACATCAGAATATAGTCTGCACTGAGTATGACATCGCATAAACTAACTGCAATGTCTGGCATGAGAGACAACCTCTTGGCTACTATGTGTGTATTCGCCCTTGACAATGTCAGCGGCTGCTCCGACATATCAACACCTGATTGGCACACATTCAGGTTAGAGGTCGGGCTTGTACACACAGTTTAGATATTTTCTGAACGGATCCTGATGCATCCAGATGAAAGTCTCGATCTGAACATTTAAGAACATCGCTCCATTTTTAAGTTAGTATTTATTAGTTCTGTAACAATTTTCAGTGTTGGGTGTAACTACCTCAAAACTATTTCCTTATCTCCTATACTAGGAATCTAGTGGAGATCGAACCCGTTCTATCAGAGAAATGACCGAGAAACAAGTAATCTAACCATTAAATCCATATACCATAATATTCATAAATCTCGTAACACAAAATTGACAGCCTGTGTGTAAAACTTAAAACTGGGTGGATTTTTTGTCACAGGAGAGTATAGTCGACGAGTAAATGATAGCCTTGAGGCGCAGTACCCTGCCTTCTTGGTCTACACCCTGCCATTTGATCGTTAGAAGGCTACTGGGAGAGAAACTTGAACAGGTGAGACGGCATATAACTGCTGTGTTCTTGTCATGCGCATAAAGGAAAAGTCAGTGACGTAAACGGTCCGAGATCATAACCTTATACAATTTACATTTAAAAGCCGTATTTAGTACAAGAGTAACGCCTTCTTGAAGGTGTGTATGTGTTCTATCAGTTTTCGTGTGATCTCTGGAGCCATTTACACTGTCAAATTAAAGAAGGTGAGGCTTTCAAAAAAAAAAAAAAAACACGTTTGGTATATCATTTCAATGTATTGTTTTTTTTTTTCAGTATAAAACACACACATACATATATACACCCTTTCATACCCAGAAACAAACAGAACATAAAAGAGTCTGTCTAAATGTTCGCGGAATTTTAGCATAGTGCACAAACCGAATGTAGTACGGACATTTATTGCAACGTTTTATGAGTATTACCTTTTATGAGATCGCTGGATGTTAGCGGAAGTACAACGAAGTGCTGAAAAGTCCTCGTCCAGACACACTTCCAAAAATCTGGCCAAATAAACAAACACCACGGTTGTTTCTGGAAAGGCGTTTTGGTCGGGACGAGAACTTTTCAGCTTCCTGTTAACTTTTTTTATTTTGACAAATGACAGTTGTGACGTATATATATATATATATATATATATATATATATATATACAGAGAGAGAGAAAGAAAGAAAGAGAGAGAGCGATAGATAGATATTTGTAATATTAATGAATTCCTTTGAGTTTCATGCACGTTGTAATCGTCAGGTACATATTATAAACTGACTGATTTTATATGTTGATATTTATAAACTACTGGTAAGATAAAAAATAGATAAAAACATACTGAATAAGAAAGTTTGCATATATATATATATATATATATATATATATATATATATATATATTTATATATATATATATATATTTATATATATATATATATATATATATATATATATATATATATATGAGTTATCCCTCTTGATATCTTGCTTACTTTTGAATAAAAATTTAAATTTAAATAAGTTTTTTAATTTCTTTTTAATTCATCGACTTGATATCTTTTCACTTTTAAATTTAAATAATTTTTTTTTAATCCTTCACCTTTTGAACTTAAGAATTTGAATGATATAAGTCATGAATAATTATTTCTAATATTTTAGGCAACAAAAATGAAGTAAACATGTTTTAACACGCAATTTTGAATCATCACCACAAGTGAACTCTATAACGGTCAGAATATTTCATTACCTGCCTATTAAATCAGCATATTATAAGAAGCATGCATGAATCATCTTCTGTCTTTATATTTATATATATATATATATATATATATATATATATATATATATATATATATGCATTTAGGCAGAAAAAATTCTCTTTAGGCATGTCTGATTAAATAAATTACAAACATTATGCCTGCTTATTTTGGCATAATCCTTTAATATTCGTGAACAAGAAAGAATTATGCCAAAAATAAGCAGGCATAATGTTTGTAATTTATTTAATATATATATATATATATATATATATATACACAAATATAAATACATTATATAATAATAATAATATTAATTATATTAAACACACACACACACACATACATATATATATATACATATATATATATATGAACATTTATAGCGTATATATGGGTGGGGCAATTATGAAATCAGTCTGGTTTACATTTTTCAAAAGATACTTATTTTTTATGTCCACATGGGACCATTAATTCTCTTACCATTTTCTTTTTACCACCAGCGTTCACTGCATATATATATATATATATATATATATATATATATATATATATATATATATATATATATATATATCGGGTCTGTCAACCGTATTACACGTTAAGACTGATTTCCGGCAGAGTGGGCGGATGAGATCTTCTACGGATTCAGCGGCCATGAAGGCGTTGTCAGCAATGCTATGGAGCATGTCAGAGCATAGGGACACGCACGCGCACGCGCGCGCGTGTGTGTGTTGCTTTATAAAATAGAATAGTTTGAATCCAACTGTTCAAATGTTGTGAGGTTATTCTGTCACCTCCTTTGTTTTTAGAATTGAAAACTTGCTTGAGTTGTCTGTTGCATACAGTGAGGTTCACTATTCTGTCAGTTAAGTTTAGTTCACTTTTCATATTTGTCATTCAAACTGACGTGAGCCTGGATAACTGAATTACGAATGACCACAAAATAATAATTTTGGATATTACCAACAATAGCAAAATATATTCTCAATATTAAAATCAATATGATGGATAAAACCAAAGTATATCAAGTAATTTATGGTATATACAGTTCATAATTGCCTCTGGAAACTCAACAGCCAATGTCTCCAATGTTGATGATCTGTCATACTCTTAATTAGGGTCTTTGACTTGAACGCCAATTGAGTTTAAAGAAGATACCAGACCGGAAACGGATATCGTTTCTTCGTGTCATCTCTAAAGATGCTGGAAGAATGGTCGGTCCTATGTATCGCAACAGAAAAATACCCGTTGACATGTTCTGTTTTACAAGAGTCAAATGAAACCAGGAAGCTAGTATTGCTGCCACATCTGTGCTGGAACTCTCACTTTCTTTTTACACCCTGAACCCCGGAAGGAGTCGTTAGGGCACCGATTGCTGAGCTGTCCGCCATTCTCCTCCGTCTGTCGCGGTTGTGTGTCAAAGCCTGGGTCTCCGCGAATGGCTTCTTGTTGTATTCATCATATAGCGTGTCTTGGGAGTTTTAACCTGGCGCGGCCCTTCCCTCTCCAGGTTAGACCAGATACAACATCCTTCAGCAAGGTGGCTCGCCTTGGTCGTGAACACGTAGCCGTTGTAGTTCATCTGAGGAACCCTTTCGCCCTATAAGCCCGAGTATAGGTTACGGAATAAATTCCAGTAACCAACAAATACTATTCTTAAAAGTGTGCTCAATACAGAGTAGAGCAAATATAATTATTTATTCGAAAATTATAACATAGACCTTCTAAAATCCTTTATTCTACATTCAACATCATCACTGCGTCGATGAGGTCCCTCTTCCAGCACTATTACGCGGCATTGTGGGTGATGAAATATCAATCCTGTAACTCTTATTTCACAAGCGAAGAGTTGCTCGTCTCGCACTGTTCCATTGCTATTGCCATGAAAAATGTTTTTTTTTTACGAGTTACATGCGTTAGATCCACCAGGTCAGACTTTCAAACTTACAACCAGCTCGCCTCCAACGTCTGGTTACCGAAGTAACTGCTTTGATCACTAGTCTAACCTACCCACGTTGTGATTTTCATCTTAGGTAGACGAAATCAATCAGGCGTCGGGCCGTAGTGCAAGCTGAATCCAGGGCAAAGGTGATACCGCACAAGTGTATGTGAAAGAAAATAATGTAACAACTCAAAAGATTCAAATGTGTTGAAAAAAAATAACAAGTATCTTTATATCTGTTTGCTGAATACAGGACTGCGTCTTTCTCCCAAACCGCTTCTATGTATTCGTGACACTTTGCGTTTCTTAGGCGAGTCTTAATATCTTAAGTTGTTTTTCAATAAACTGCTTTTTGGCATCTTCAGGTGATATTCGTAAAACTTGTTTTGGTGGAGTGAGTCTAAATCGTTCTTCAAAAAAAAATGTTTTTGGTTAGAAGTCTAAGTCGGAATGCGTGGAAATCTTTCAGTCAGCTCCTTCGGGGCTGGTCTCCGATCTCTAACCCAACCCAACTGCAACTCAACACTAACTCTACTGTCCCTGTAACTCTGGGGACGTTCGTTTATATGGACGCCGACCAAAACCGAGTGGGGGATTGTCGTGGTTTGGGTTCCTCGATAATTCCAAATCCGCAATAAGGATTTTCTTTGTTTTCGGACAGGAAAATTTATCACTTCCCATTTTTGGAAGTCAATTACTTTCTGTTTTAGAGGGGCTCTCCCCCTCTCTGTGGTTGGGGTTCGTAAGGGAATTGTCCTCCTAAATTCTTCCTTTCTCATATTGGTATGTCACACCAATCCTCTCAGAGGGCGTCAACAGGTTTCCCTTCTTTCTCATATGTTTACCTTCGCCCATCACTCACGCCACTACTCAGCCAATGAACGCTCGGCAGTGTGGGTGTTGCTAGACTGGCCTCACTTTACAACCATCGTCCAAAGAAAAAAAATTATCTTCCCTTTTCTTTCTTTATTTTCCATCGGCCAGAATTCTTATGAATCGTACTGTGGACATTAAATTTTTATCTTAACATGGGGTCATCTGGAATTCATCAATGGGATTCTCGCCGACTCATTAACTGGGGGGTCGGCTAAATCTCTTTGTCTTTCTCAACATCATCGCATTCTGTCGCCAACAGCTTGTCCAGGTAACAATAATGATTTCCTTCGTCGGTCTTTTTTTTGTTATTTTTTTATCCGTTTCTGTTTCTCTTGCCACTTAACTTTTATGATGACAAGATCCGGACATACAACAGATGGGTCTCCTTCCAAAACCAAATGATATCTCCGAAAGATAGCTAATGGCCTATTCTTTTTCTCTTTTTTTGGGGGGGGGGGGCGGGTGAGTGGTCTCACCTAATTCTTTCTCGGTCGCATGCTTAACCCAGTTTCGATTATCTTCTAGAACTCTGCTTTGTATGCCTCTTGACCGAATTGAAATTTTCATTATTGCCATGGGCAGATTGTTATCTTTACCCGTATTCTGTTTTCCTTGTCGCGTCATGGCATAAATTAATTCTGACAGGATCCGATACCTTACGAATTTTCTATCTTCTGCGAAAAAAATACCTTTCTTCGTAAATGAAAATAAAATCTTTACCCATTTTTCTTTTGTTAAAAAAAGAAAATAACATCGCTCAGTATGTCTTTCGTTATAGCTTTTTCTCGCCTTAAGTATTTCTCGTTTTTGATTTCCATGCTTAATTAGTTAGCCAATTACCATAGCTAAATAGTGTCACAGATCCAACGGCCATGAAGGTGGTGTCAACAATGCCATGGAGTATATCAGAGCATGGGCGTGATACGTAGATGCCCTGGTCATCTAAAAAAGCCTTCTGGTGTCCGATTGTAACGCTTCTTGTGATCCTCCTTCCACCTCCCTTATAACAATCAGTAACCATCTACCTTCAGTGGCTGTTGGGACTTCAATTAGGTGAAGAAAAGTTTTTTTTTTAAATATTATTAAAATTCAATTTATATTCATTAACAAACAACAACAGAAAAAAAAATGTGGAGAATGTGTCCCGAGTACTTACCACATTCACCGGTCATGTTGCTCAGAGGTTCCATAATTTCCACCGTCAAGTGCACTTTCTTTTGCACAGTATTTCCTTTCATGACATTCACTACGAGTTTCACTTCATTTTCACGAGTAAGGCGGAGGGCGGCATCGCTGTCTACGTAGACGATTCCTGTATACCACGTCACGGCAAATATCTGTGAGCCATAACCTGCAACTTGAAAATGTTCGCCTCCGCTGTCCGGTACTTTGTAAATCTGAATGAAAAAGCAAATAGGCATGCAACAATAGATATTCAGTTATAAAATTCTATCTTTACTTCAAATGAAAAGATTTTAATATTTTGCTATTAGTGTGTTATTTGTTATATATATATGATTTCATTGAATAAGACTAACAAGGAAAATTGATTTAATTTTTTATTCAGTTTTGTCCGTTATAGTCCTATTATGGGAAGTGAAAACTTTAAAATATTTTCTTACCTGGGCAAATTTGGATGCACTTCGAAGCACTGACCTCTGTATGGAGATATCTGATCCATTAGCTTTCGGTGGTTTGATATGAATTGTGTAAATAGCCTACAAAAAATAAACAGATAATTTACATGGTCAATTGTAGGATATGAGTATATACAGAAACTTTTGCAGAGTTTTTGTTTCTTTTTTATACTAATGTGTAGGATATATATATATATATATATATATATATATATATATATATGTGTGTGTGTGTGTGTGTGTGTGTGTGTGTGTGTGTGTGTGTGTGTCTGTGATACCTTGGATAGACAGCTAGATTTAGTAAGCATTGTTATTTTTATTATTTCTCCTCAAGCAAGACGATAAATTCACTATGACACAAGGGGGTTACCGAGAGTGAACGAAAATGAGAAAACGTCAGCGAGGAAAAAGGACAATAAAAGAACAGATTTCAGAGAAAAAAAATAGAAGACATCGATTGATGCCGCATTTAAATTTTTGTAGTTTACCAGAAATCCAGTGACCGGAAGAGTGTCGCACATTGGGGAAGTATGAGAGAAGAATCTATTAAAATAGAATTTACGGTTATATCTTAGCAATATCAACAATAAAATCATAATGCCTGGTACTACGCTTAAATTTATAAGGGGTCTCCTGTTTCGATTCAATTCATGGGGTCGGGTTAACAAGGAGGAAAACTCATTAGAACAATTGCCATGAATATCTTTATAGAAAACACACAGGCAAGCTACTTTACGGCAGTGGACTGAAGCCAAAGTGCCAGATCAGGACCAATAACTTTATAGATTCTTCTTTGAATTTTGTCAGCAATCTCGAGATATATTGTAGGAGCATCAGAATAGATGTGGTAGCAATATTTGATGTACAGAGGAATGGTACTTTTATAAATGTGCAAGTTGGGTTCTGGTGAGAAAAATTGTATGGCACAACACAGTGAACACACTTTCCTAGCAGCACACCTAGCAATTGATCCAATATTATCATTTCACTTCGTGTCAGTGGAAAACTTGAGACTAAGAAGGTGCAATAGATTGCTTTCCTGGAATCAGCTAAGTTGATGAAAAGCAAAAGTAGTGAAAAATATGACTATAAGACAACAATTTCCTTTTGGAGTCATTACGCTTTTCAAGCTATTTCTTGCCCCAGTTAACAACAGATTGGTTATCATTTTTGAGATCAGCTATCAGACAAGAGTAAATAGTTGTGTCATCGACACAGATACCGAATTTGGAACTAATAGTATCGGGAAAATCGTTGTTGAAGATAAGAAATAAGTAGGTGCAAGGATCGAGCCTTGGAGGACACCTGCATTGATTTGAAAGCTTGGATCGAAATTAAAATTCGACTGGAGTTACCATATCCCTACCGCTTGTGAAGAAGTTCAGCATGCCAAACCCTATCAAACGCTCTTTGGAAGTATTAAATACCGCAGTCCGAGGCTCGCCGTTCTTATCTAAAGCTTGACAGACACTTTCAATAATAACACATCGGGGGTTTACCTTTGTATCGCTTGTACTGAATACCTACATTTTTTCTACTGATTCCCATTCAAAAAAGAAAGGAAATCGCTGGAGTCAGGTTTTGAGCATGTGGATGATGTGATAAGCACATAAGTTTTTTTTGATTGCGCGTGTCCGCAATAGTTTACCCAGAACCAATACGAAAATAAACAAAGATATTCAATAGAAAAATCAATATATTTTCCAAGAAACAACTCATTTAATAACAAAGCCATCAACCGTGAGAATGACGCATATATATATATATATATATATATATATATATATATATATATATATATATATAAAGGAGAGAGAGAGAGATGTATATATATATATATATATATATATATATATATTGAAATTTGCAACATTCATAGAGAAAGACTCCTCAATATCGGCGATATAGCGTCTAGAGATGCAGATAGTGTGGACAAAAGAACCAACACTGTAGAGTGCCAGTTTCAGGTTTCAATGTAATCTTCATGCCCAAATAAATATACCGTATATTTCCGCGTATAAGCTGACTTTTAGATAAGACGAGGTCAAAAACTATCGCAAATGTGTATGAATTTATCCTATACCTGTAGTATAATGTTTATTGATTATATAAAGATGATGCTATTGATAATGTTACTTACTGTATCCTTAATTCAAAATAAACGAAATAACAAAACCGATTTTATATCCTGATTTTCTTCCACACGTCCGCGATAAGGGAAACGATTGCTTTGTTTACATTTCATCACACCATCTCTTGCAAATACTGATTCTTCTTCTACTTCCGCTTCTTTTCCTATATCTTACGAGCTGCAGCCAGTTGTACTAATGCAACAGCCATGAAGGGAATTTTATTTGAAAAATAAAGGTTGCATATAATTCTAAATTATCTTATTATTTAACACCAAAATGATGGTTAATTTTTAATGAGAAATGTATTTTATGTTATCCTAAATGTTATTACTGCCGTAATTAATACTACCATGATGAGGATTATTGAAGTTTTACCGAAAGATAAAGGTTGGCTGTAAACGCAATCTAAACTCAATGTTTACACTTCCTCAGCTGAACTTGCATGGATACAAGTTAATTTCATTGATAAGGAATTATTCTTCGAATAGGCAAATTATTATGAAGTCTTGCCAGTAATATATAAGATAGAAATGGTTTTATTACTTTTATTACCAGTTTATTTGCTGTGTATTTTCTATATATATTTTCATGGCATGAATATATATATATATATATATATAATGGACTCTCCCATCGGCTTCGACGTATGAGGATTCTGATAGCTTATTGATTGTTATGAAATTTTGTGCGATAATCTTAAGTGCCATTTAAAACCCGCTACTGATTTACAAAGGAGGCCACATATGGAGCAAGTATGAGGATTGTGAGATGAGATCACTGTTAGATTGGCTGACCTTTTAGATCATGCGCTCGCTTCTTGAAGATGATTCAGACAAGCAGATTGAAAACAGGTTGATCTCCATTCTACCCACTCCAAGGCTAAGCGCTCAAGGGTGTTATGTGGTATATTGGCTGCTGACATGTTGCTCTTCAGCTTGTCTTTGTATCTTGCCATGGGCGTCCTACATTCATGTAGCACTGATCTAACTGGTGTACATTAGGATCTTGGGTATCCTGTCATCAGACATTCTCAAGACATGACCAGTCTACCGTAACTGAGACTGTATGATAAAAGTCTCGATTCCTCCAATATTACGCCTGTTAAACAGGTCTACGTTAGATGTCCCATCACAGATTGCACGCAGACACCTTTTATGGAAAACATCTAGCTGGCGTATATGGTACCTGTATGGAGTCCACAACTCTGATCCATACAAAAGGATGGCAAGTACAGCAGCTCTGTAATATAATATAATATAAAAGGCTCAAACACTAATATTCCGTGGTTATAATTACTACATTGGAATCATAATCACGATCCAATGCATCATTTGTAGGTCTGATGAATTGGGTCGTGACTACGATCCCAATATAATAAATTATAACCATGGAATATTAGTGTTTGAGCCTTTTATATTATATTCTTACTCTATCCTGACATTGAGTTCTAACTGGATTCTATCCTGTTAGGAATTTACATATATATATATATATATATATATATATATATATATATATATATATATATATATATATATATATATATATAGAATATCAATTAAAAAAAAATAATAATGTTTTTTATGAAAGTATTTATTTATTTATATATATATTTGATATTTCAGAATCTCGCGACGGACCTACTTGTAAACAAACAGTTATTTCTGAAGAAAGATTGAGTTCAATCTGAAATATTAAATATATATATATATATATATATATATATATATATATATATATATATATATATATATAAATGAAATCTTTCATAAAAAAACATTATATTTTTTTTTTTAATTTTCAACTTTTTCTATATATTTATACATATTAAGAAAGTATACGTGGCTTCTCGTTATTATTATATATATATATATATATATATATATATATATATATATATATATATATATATATTGACCATTAATAGTATTTATTTATCTATAAATCAACACTCAAAGGCGACAGACTGTTTCATGCTAGACGCAATCATCATGACTCATGATTGCGTCTCGCAGGAAACAGTCTGTTACCGATGAATGTTGACTTCAATATTCACTTTTTATATCTACATACACTCCCTGATATTGAGAACTTTATTCCATAAATATAACACACATTAAAACTATATTTCTTCATACATACATATATATATATATATATATGTGTGTGTGTGTGTGTGTGTGTGTGTGTGTGTGTGTGTGTGTGTGTGTTTATATTTTATGTTGCAATATTTAGTCTTCCCTCGATTTCAACTCTGTTAAGTGGGGGCGAAACCGGTCGGCTGGTCATTTTTTCCTTTTAATCATGAATGGTAAAGCTCGTCTTGCTGTTTTTATTTCCATAATACATACATACATACATATATATATATATATATATATATATAAATGCGTGTGTATGTGTGTGTCTGTGTCTCTGTGTGTGGTCAAACTTCTAGAGCTTTGCTTACTGTCAGTATTCTTGATATTATCCTCAAGTCGATGAAACGCTGGAAAAAGAGGAGGAACACGAAGAAGTTTCCAACATTTCTTTCTGTCTTAAATTTGACAATACCTTCGTCCATTATCATATTTGAAAAAGCCACAATCACGTCTTCTGAAATTATCCGGACAAAAGTTTTCTTTTTACACAATATATACATATAAATATAGACTTTTTAACGCTAAACAATTTACAAAGATGTTAAAACTATTGTTATATAAAATATAGCAAATGTCTCTATTCCAGAAACAAATAAATTAATCATATGGTGCACAATTTTCGGTCTTTTGAATAGGAGTAGACGTTTATCTTATTTCCTGTTTAGGATTGGGTTTCCGTTTCCTTCTATAATTTTTGACATTTTCTTTCACTACTGGTAGCCCTTTGATAAATTGATTAATAAATAAATAAATAAAAATAATACAGTCGCACGAGTAACCTTTCCATTCCACCCAACAATAGCAATAT